CATCCCTGCCCCATCCCTGTCCCCTGCCTGCCCCATGCCTGCACCATCCCTGCCCCTGCCCCCTCCCTCCCCTGCCTGCTCAGAGCTGGGACAGGCTCCTGCTCCTGCCCTGCTCTCCCTGGCACCTTCTGCTCCCTGCAGGGCTCCTGGTGCTCCAGCCCTCCCGCGCCCACTCCCCTCCTCCTCCAGCCCCTGGGACCAGAGAAAGAATTCCCACATGCCTTCGAGGGGCCGGCGACGCCTTTGGCAGGGGACAGAGCACAGCTCTCCCCTGGGGCAGAGTGAGCCCCACACCCGACTTGGCAGAGCCCCGTGCCTGATGCCCAGTGCCAGTTCCCCCTCTCCCTGCGGTGCGGGTGCAGGCTGGAGCACCCCAACTCAGTGCCACTGCTCTCTGCAGCAGCCGTCCTCGCTCCATGTGTGCCGGCAGGCGACCGGCAATGCTCCTTGCACCGGACCAGGTGGACCCTGAGGACTGGGGACAGGACACTGCTCCCCTGTGTCCCACCCCTGCTCGCCATTGGGGAGCACAGGCAGTGGGGCTCCAGGAGTGCTGCCCGTCCCCCCTGCCCCGCTGCTCGCGGGTCACCAGTGACCTGGAAAGGGCACGCTGTGGAGAATGCGTCACCCGTGGGCCGCGAGCCCAGCACTGCCCCGGGAGTCTCCCCCAAGCTGGATTGTTCGTGCCCGGCGCTCCCACGGTCCTGATACGATGGTGCCGTGGGAATGAGCAGCTCGGCTCAGCTGGCCCCCACCCCAACAGGGTTTAAATCCCAGTTGGCGGGCCCAGCAGCACAGCTCTCCAGCAGCAGCATGATGCCGAGCGAGCGGACCCTCCTCCTGGTGCTCCTGGTGCTGTTTGTGGAGCTGCCGCCCACCCCAGCCCAACAGCACCGCACTGGGGACCAGGGTACTGTCCCCACGGTCACCCCAGCACCACGCCGGGCCCTGCGGGGACGCTGGCACCCTGCTGCCCTGCCTGTCCCCCGCAAAGCAGGCGAATGCCGGGTGGTGGGGAGCAAGCCCCCGCGCCCCCCCAGGCTGTACTGCCTCTCTGATCACAGCTGTCCCGGCGCAGAGAAGTGCTGCCAGAGCGGGCAGGTCAGGACCTGCCTCCTCCCCACCACAGGTACTGCCGGGTCCCCCCAGGAGATGCCAGCATGGGGACAGGGTGATGGGTGGGATGCAGGTGGGGGCCGATAACCGTGTCGGGTGCCCCAGTGTGAGCCCTGCTCCCTGGGCATGCAGCTGTACTGAGCATCTCCCTCTGCAGAGAGCCCAGGCTACTGCCCCCGTGCCGGCAGCACCGGTGGGGAGAGCTGCAGGATGAGCTGCCGCAACGATACCACATGCAGCCCCGGGGAGAAGTGCTGCACTCGCGGCTGCTGCGCCCGCTGCATGCGTGCCGAGCCAGGTAAGGTGGCCCGGGTGTCCCCAAAGCAGGGTGGGCGCGCCC